TCGCTATTCAATACGCAATTATGCCGTAGTCTGGTTTGAAGAACATTTAGTCGTCTGTTACCGTAATCAAAGTATGATGGTGGAGCAGATTTTGTAGTACTAATTTTAGATTTGAATTTTGACATTGACTGTAAATTTCGAATTTCGAGTGGAATTGAGTTCCATTCATTAACTCCTGTCGGAATAAATGTAGACTTATAAGTTTGTAATCGACATTTTGGAATATCATAATTTTGAGAATTTGTATACACTTACGTCAATTATTTATTTTAAACACTGACAAAAAGCAAATGTAAAATTCCTTAATATTATACACTTACAAAAGTCTACATCCAATTTTATTTCCAAATACCGACGCAAAACCTGCCATGAGAGTATGATGATGTACTTTTGAAAATAAACCAGATTTCATTTATTTTATCGAATATTCGAAATATTTTCATTGAATATTCGAATATGAATTATTGACAAAATTGACATCCCTACTTATAATACGTACTACCTATAGGCCTGTGTATTGAGCAAATAATTTCGATACGATACAATTTATTTTATGCGATATATTGGATTCTTTAACAAATCTATATCAAAGAAGTCTTGTAAATCATTTAATGCATGAATTTTATAATAATGAATTGTTTTGCAACACATTTTAAAATTCTTGTCTCACTGCCATTACAATTTACACTTCAAATCCAAACTTTTAACGACTGTCAACATGTTAAATAAAGTTGTCTATGTATTTTATAATAATTATCTAAGATGTGCTACCTCCTTAATGATTATATCATTATTGATCAATTTCAATTCAAAACATTTAAATGTAATCTTTGGTGATTGAAATTCCCAACTTTTTCACAGAATTATATGAAAAACTGCATGCCTGCCCACTACGTATTGGAAGTTATTTTTTCGATACGATACATTCTTGAATATCGATACGTATCAAAAAAAAAAAAAAAAAAAGGTCATCGGACGTTTTAATTGAGGGGCACAAGGATATAGTAGCTTTTTTCTATAATAATCTATATATCGGCAAAATTATTGGGGGGGGGGGGCGTGCCCCCGGTTCCTACGGCCATGCGTATCAATATATTGACACAGCCCTACTACCCACATTAAAATTATCAACGTTAACTTGCTGACTCGACTTTATGTATAGAATGGGAAAAAATATGTGCCCTAAAAAGATATTCTAGCATTCTAATGATACACCGAGTTCCTGTGCAGAAAACACAAATACATGTATTTTCCTCATACCGTGTTTAATTTTGATTTTCTTAAATATGCCATTAAATATGGTTAGGTGCTTCATTTGGTACAAAATGTTACATTTTCCAAACAGTTTTATATTGATTTGCTATCTCTGGATCACCTTTTTGGTCCGCAAAATTGAAACATGATTTGTGTGCATTTTAACTCAACAAATAGAGCAAGCATTTATAAAAGAGAGAGAAGACCTAGAGACCATGGAATATGAACTTTCCCCCACAAAAATCACATTGCAGACTTAATTATGATGCTCCATTAGTAGTTTATTAGTGTTATGCGGAGATAGTGCAGTGATAAAGTGTTTACCCGTCTCTGACGGTTCTCAACAGATATTTTTTTGTTCGATCTTCTCAGAGAGCACTTTTTTTTCAATTATTCTGTTTGATCTGTTTGATTTTATTTATTGATTTAATAAATAGATTTAAGATTAAGTTAAATTTTGATTATGTATGTTGCAATACAATACAAGAAATTCATTACATTTGCATTTATCTACGCAGTATCAATAATATCCTATATAGGTGTTTAATTGTGTATAATCATTATACATTTATTTACTGGGTTCGAGGGCAACATGCATTTTGTCGGACCCAAGAACCAAACTGTTTGCCTCAGAGGCCGTTAGGCCGAAGGCAAACAGTTTGGTTCGAGGGGTCGACAAAACGCATTTTGCCCGAGAACACAGTCAATAAATGTTTTGTTATACCTTTTTTTAAATTTATTTTATTACTTTTTTTGACATACATGTATGTCGAACACCAACGAATGCAAATGAGATTTAGCTAACCCTCCCCATTATGTGACGTAAACGGCCCAACATCTCATCAACAGGTCCAACATCTCACTCCGCGGTCAAATATCGATTTTTTTTTATGCCCGCTCAGTAAAACATTGGAAATGTTAGACTTTTTTTGGTATTGATTTATATAGGAAGAAATGTTTAAAGTTAAAACAAAATAGTTTGTTATACCTTTAAAAATTGTTTCCTTTATATAATTCTATACTTTAAAAAGTCTTACATTTCCAATGTTTTACTGAGCGGGCATAAAAAAATCGATGTTTGACCACAGAGCGAGATATTGGACCTGTCGATGAGATGTTGGACCGCTTACGTCACACTGTGGGCGGGGTCAGCTGTATTTTATTTGCATTCGTTGGAGTTCGACAGAACTTTACAGAATTGACCAAGTTTAAACAGCAGTGCGGGTAAGCAAAATTTACATCATGTTATGTCATAAAAAAAGTAAAAGGTTTAACAAAACATTTATTGACTGTATTTTCGGGCAAAATGCGTTTTGTCGACCCCTCGAACCAAACGGCCTCAGGCAATCAGTTTGGCTCTTAGGTCCGACAAAACGCATGTTGCCCTCGAACCCAGTCAATAAATGTATAATGTCTTATAACTGATAAGATGAGTATAGATTAAATATTACAATTCTTTGTCAGTGTTTATTGTAGTGACTTTTGTAAAGTTAGTCCTGTTATGATTGTTGTGGTTGTGCTTGATTGGACATTTAATCTACGAATGAATCGTACTCACAAATCACATAGCTAAATACGCTCACATCATTTTTGAGTTTGACTCAGAAGTTGTTTGCATATATGATCAGTAAGGGTCCTATACTTCTTTTGAGGGGAAGATTTAAAGGATTTTATTTTTAAATATTCCCATGTAAAAGTTTGAAGCCTTATTGACCCCCCCCCCCCCCCTTTTATTGTCACGAGCCATCATTATATAAAAGTCGAATCTGCACTTCTTGAGAATGTTTGCTCAATATGATAAATAACGGCTTAGTTATTCTTCAGAAAAAGATTTTTTTCAACATTTTGCACTATATATATATTCCTGTAAGACTTTGATCCTCCATTGTGACCCATCCTGTCCCTTGAGGTTGCGCAAGGATTGAACAAATTGAAATCTGCACTACCTGAAGATGCTTGCATATTAATATGACTAGCCATGGCACTGCCGTTCTTGAGAAGATTTTAAAAGATTTTTCCTTTATATTTCCATGTAAAACTTGGATCCTGCATTAATTGTGGTCCACTCTGCCCCCGCAGGGTTGGGCATGATAAGTTGAACAAATTTGAGTCTACACAATGTCAGGAAGCTTTCACGTAAGTTTCATCTTTTTGGCCCAGTGGTTCATATAAAAGATTTTTTTTAAAGACACCATCTTATTTTGATTTTTTTTTTTTAAATTAAGTCTCCTCGAGTGAGGGCATGACCAATTTTTAAACAAACTTAAGTCCTCTTCACCCAAGTATGCTTTGTGGTAAGTTTCACTTTGATTGAAATTGACCCAAATGTTCTGGAGAAGTCGAAAATATAAAAACTCAAAAGACGGAGAGAAATGCAAAGGGACAGTCAATAGACGACATGTGAACGGTGATCAAAAGAGCTCACACGAACCTTCGATCAGGTGAGCTAAAAAGTACCCGATCGCAGTGTATACAAGGTAAAACCCTGCAGACATAAGCTAAACACATTTTCCAGTAAATATGCAAATATTTGGTGTGTTCCGATGATCCTTAAAAAATCTCATTGCTTTCCTTACAGGCCTGTAGTACCAGTGGGGTGGTAAAGGATAAATTTAGTATAGAAATTTTTAATCAAAGGCCACTTGGCCTCCCACTTTGAGATTCAGTTAGATGAAACCCAATCCAAACTTTCCATGTTACTTGTATTTATTTTCCTTGCCCCCCCCCCCCCCCCCCCCCCCAATATAGGTTTATACAACAGAGTCAGTTTTCACTGGTGTAGTTAAAGTGTAACCCCCCACCCCCCATACCTCGAGCTCAGTTATTCCCAGAGGGGAAAGTCTGGATCCGCCCCTGAATTATTTAACAATGCCAGGAGGTATAGTCACTCTCGGGTTGCAAAGTGAGCTCAACCAACGATTTTCAGGAGCTCCTAACAAGAATAAGTATAGTTTAACAATTGGATATACTATATACAGGAAATATTTCCTACCAATATAAAAAATTCGCGTAAGCAATCTGAATTAGAGGAAAATCAGACTTAATTATAACAATTTTGAAATTCATTGTAACCCCCCCCCCCTAATTTACAATAGTAAAAACTTTGATTTTAAATAATTTGATTGTAAACTATAGTTGATTTTTTTTAAACTGATTTTTTTAGGGGCTGTATGTGAACTACTATGATAAATTTTTTCAGTGTTTTTCCGTTCCATTTCCTTTTTCTCCCATGTATTTAAGCAACAATCTATTATTGTTTCGTTTAACATTTTTTAAATAAGTTTAAAAAATTGTCCATATCGATTTTTCTCAGTTTTAATTGGCATCTCAAGATTTTTAATTGGCTTTAGTTTACACGTGCCTAATGTAGTCAAATTCTGAATTTAAAAGATGCTCTCAAATTTTCACGAATTTCACACAGTCTGATGCATCGAAAATAAATTATAAAAAAAATTCAAATAAAACTGGTGGTGGGGTGGGGACGGGGGTCCTATTCTTGTAACAGTAGAGAAATAAATATAACAGCCTCTGGTTTTTGTTTTGTCTGTCTTTCTGTTTGTTTGTTTTTGTTGTTGTTTTTTTATTGCTTTAGCCAGAATTATTACTTTAAACCTTATCATGGTTTATCTGCCTTAAAAACCCTCTAGCTTTATCTGTATTTTGAGGTCTGCACTTTAAATATCGGAAGAAGTATTTCTAGCAGACAGTTTGATTTTTTTTTCTATCGGGTTCGAAATTCGACCTTTTTTCTCATTACTCACTAGAGGGGGATAGATGCATTGATCAATAGACTTGTGTCACACCCTGGTGGCCATTTTGGAAAACCGGTCGAACTGAAAGTGAACCGTACGCAGAATTTAAATTCAGTTAGAGGTAAGTTTTGAATGAAACAATCATTTAAAAATGTTGCATTCTACAGCAGATAAATTTAGTCCACACAAGTAATCTGCGACAGTATTTCTACACGGTATTTCATATCTTTTGGTCCATTTGGGCGGGTTCTTGACACTTGTGTTGACCGTAGTGCATAGTGAGCACGAAGCACATGGACTTGTTTAAGCGATGTTCTCTGTTTTTTGTCATCTTTGCATAATGTAACAATTCAATCACAGAGGCATAAGACAATTTGTTTTATTGACATGATTGATTCTACTTTTTATTTAAATTTTATTTACTTTTATTGTTCAAAACGTGTTGAAAAGGGTATAGATCTTATTATAATTTGAAATATGTCATGTTAATTTTTATGATTATATTATGATTATGAATTAGGATCTGTTGTAGCTTTTATGCAAATGGATCACCTTTAAAATAACGTGGTGTTTAGTGTTTACATATAATGGAAAAAAGTGACTGATGATCTTTATAAATGACCTGTCAAACAGGTGATCATCTTGTTCTTTTGTGCGTTTTCTGTTTAAGTATGTCTACGTTGTAATTGATAACTGCGTATATTTTATATTTATGCTCAGACCCACACATAAGTTTTATATATACTTTACCAATAAATTTAGAAATGTTTTGTAATTCTTCACATGTATGGCAACCAGTTTATTTAGAGGTATAAATTGTCCAAAAATTGCACTTCAGAGCAGCAATTATATTATTTAAAATGTATGTGTGGTAAATTGTGAAATTTACTTATTCACTATTTTCATTTAACCACAAGAATCATAAGGTTTATGTTTTGACATGTAATAAGTTATGTAGGGATGGTATTGTGTAGTTTAACAGTAAGATTATTAAAGGTCCATGGTTTTAGATAAGGATGAGTTGAGTGTTTACATGTACTACTGCATCTACTGTCAGCAAAATAAGTGCAAAATTTATTACATCATAAAGAGTTGGTGAATATATGTCTGTAAACCTCATCATTACACCCCCCCACAACCCCCCCCCCCCCCAAAAAAAAAAATCATTGACAGTAATTTGAATTCTGCATATTTTAAATGCTTGAATGTCAATACAATAATAATGCCCATGGAACTTACTTTGCAAAGAAAAGATTTAAATTTATGTCAAACACAAGGATTATAATGTTTGAAATCATGTAGAAACTGAAAGGCAGTGGGGGATGATGGGTGGTATTGTTTCATTATTTATTAATTATTAAGGAAAATTTATGTATTATATATATATATATATATTTATTTACGTATAATATATTTATGTCTGAATCGAAGAAATAAACTCTCATTTTTCTGCTCTTATCAGTCTGAGCTATCCATTAATTGTTTGCCAAAGAGGGCACCTCAGTGAATGCAAAAATGAAGTCATGATTGTAAATGGTAAGGGGCACAACTATGTCATCATGAATCACCATTAAAATATTTGACAAGCTGACTTTACAAGCTTGTTACATTTTAACTATGTCCCCCATAGGCCATTTGATGTAAACCACATGCTTTAACCTTGATTTTTGGAATGTTTTTGCAGGTGCATCCACCAGTGGAGAAAGAGAGTTTCTGAACATTTTCTTGGTTGCACTCTGATCAACAGTTAACCAAGCAAGATGCCAAAGCCAGTGAGTCTTTGATTCAATCACTACAAAATTTCATATAGATTCTGATAGACTGTGTACACAGCCTAGGGACAAGTGACCTGTTGTCAATCGAGATGTGAGGGTGTACTTTCTCTATGCCCCTCTGATTAACTTGATAACATTGAATTTTTATCATATCACTGAATCAGCCGGTTATAGGGAGTAGTTATGTTGTGCTGGGTTGTCTAATTAATACGTACATAGACTAATCTGCATGATCAGATCAACTATTACTTGACTTAAGTCTGGTCAAGAGCACAGCCAACTTTTTAACTAGCACCACCATCTGTGATAAGATGGGTGATAGTAATATTAGATCAAGGTATAATGAGTTTTTTCTTGATTGAAATAACTGAGTAGTTATGCAGTAAACTTTGTTTATCACCATATAGTAAACAGGTGCCCCTGACATTTGACACATTTTCAGAACAGGCGCAGACCTTCTGGTGAATGTTCCTGACACTGGTTCTATGTATTCAAATGTTGTGCTCAGATTTTGCTTTCGCTTATGTCAGTAATCATGTGACAATACAAGGAAATAATCAACCCAGCCCTAGTTTAACACAAAATACTATTAGAAGTGCTGGATTCCATTGCCCTGAACAGATTGCTTGCAGTTTGGGAAATACTAGCAGTTTGTTAACATAGGAATACAAATACTTCAAGTTGATAGATACAAGGAGTTGAGAGATGTCAAAGCTGAGACAGGTATTTGAATATTTCTTTATGCTGTGGAATTTAGATATAAAGTGATATTTCATTGTATTGCTTTTTGTTGTGTAATTAGTTCCTGGTGGGAAAGACTCTGTCTGTTGTAATGCATTGTTATTACTTCTATTATGTGTAAGGGAATGGGAAACAAGTTCAAATACATAAGTAATTCTCTCATTTTCAAACTTGTCATGTTGTAGATCTTTATATTGAGGCACTATTGAAAGTGTTATTTTTTGTCATTGAATTTAATTTATCATCCCAATAAATAGATCCATTTTGAACAAGAATATTCTGGTCTGTCATTACCTAGTAACGTCACATTGCTATAGATCATTGGGACTTTACAGATAAGTACAAACAAGGAGGTCATCTGCATTCCTCAGAAAGCCCCCTGTTAACTGTTTAGACTGCACGATTCAGGGAACAATGTCATTACTGTGCCTTATTTAGTGTATGCAGGCTTGGCTTTTTATGCATCAGTTTGTGTTTTACTTCCTGATGTACCATGTTTATCATGTACACAGAAAGGATTCAATAGATATATTGTACTTTGTACAGATTAATAAGGATGAAGTGATTTGTAATATGGTGTACAGAATTCATAGTGTTTGACTGCTTTAGAGAATCAAAGTGTCTGACAAGCGGAAAAAAAGAAAATATTTATTTCAAATATGTATATCTGTAGCGGTCACACTGTATTATGGTGAAAGTTGACAGAGCTCTCCTTCTGAATTGTTCAACAGATAAATCTAGTTTCCAAGCATGTCAAGCCATAAAGTAGAATACATATCTAATTTAGAAGCAATTTAACAATTTATGTGCCCTGACATGGCTATTCTGAATGATCCACCGCAGAGTCGGTTACAGTTGATTGCTTGATAAGGGTATCGAGTACAAATGAACAGTTGGTGGACAGCTAAGGGCTATACTATTATATGATATAGGGGTGAAACGATACACCTCCTTCACGGTTCGATACGTATTGTATAATTTTGTCTCGGTTCGGTTATTTTCGATACGATACATTTTGATAGAAGGAAACAAATTCTACGTTGTTTCATGCTTTCTTTTTCTAAATCTAGTCACATATTTTACGAATTTTATTTGCAAATTGACTAGAAGAAATTGATTAAAATTATTTTACTGTCAAAAATTATTTTACAAGCTATCAGTCATCAAAAAATTACGTTTTCTATACTTATTTATACTGAGTAACGTGTTATACCTTATGCCAAACCCGACTGAATAACGATCCCGACCGAAAAATGAACCGAACCGAAAATTTGAGATTTTGCACCGTGTATCAAACCGAGAAAAAATACCGCGGTGCATCGATACCGCGGTGAACCGTTTCACTCCTAATATGATACAAACCAATATTGATACTACTGATACTACTGACCAATATTAATGCACATTATCAGGGAACATTTAGTAGCAGATCTAATTAATGAGAGTCAACCAAAGTCACTGGCTAGAAATGTCACAGATGCTCTTATTTCCAATAGCATTAAAGGTTTGAAGAAAAAAATATGTGAAGTATGTGTAAGTTGTAAATTGTAATCTGTATTCCAATGACGACACTGTCATGCATTAGTACACTAGGACTTGAGGGCACTTTCTCATTCATGAATATTGCAAAGAACTTGGTGACATGATTTATTGCGGAGTCGTTATGCATGCTGTTAAAGAAGAAGGTTTTCAATCATGGGGGTAAATAGAGATGTTAAGAGGGGGGGAGTAACCTTATATCCACAGAAACAGTCCGTCAGGGATCTCGTTAAGACACCTGACCAGGTACCTGTTACCTGATCACTTCGCAGGTAAAGGTGTGCATTTTGGATACACAAAAAAAATATTGTCTGGACAAGCACTAGCTGATAAGTGGCTCTTAAAGGTCACAGAACTGAGTCTGGTGTAGAAATGAAATTCAGTGCAGTGGTCCATGTGTATTGCTTTACTGGTTTACTTCAGAAGTCTTCATGCTTCATATGTCTTGTCCATAAACAGCTTTTTAAAGTATTTTATGTAGATAATGATTTTTAAGAAGGACACAGTGACTGATTTTGAATGAGATATTGACATTAGTTTTTTTTTTATGTGGAAGGTAGTCGACACTTTTGAGTAGGTTATTATTAATGGATATTTAAATTTATTCCCAGGCCCTGCAGTTGTGTGTCAAATGTACAGTGCCTATGCTTTTCCTATTTTAACATCACCGGCCCCTGTTTCAAAAAAGTGGTGTGAGAGCCCCTTCTCTTAATATTGATAATTTATCTACATGATCTAATTTACTGTATCTCAATATCGAGGCAAGACGGATGTACTGTTTGTGTACTTTTAAACTTTTACCTGAAAAGCATGTCAGTTTCATCATGTGTAGTACATATTGTCCATTTATTTAAAGTGATATTTTAAGGTTATAAAAGTGAAAGAGAAGGAAGGTAAATGAAAACAAAAATAGTAATTTCTATGTATCAAAGCAATTTGGAAATGAAATGTCATTTGACATGACTTAAAACATTCCAATCATATACCACTCCCATTTCATTGATAAATATTACAAGATTTGAACAACCCCAATCCTTATGGAAAGCCATACAGAGCAACTTTTGCCCTGTGTATATCGATTAAACGTTAAAAGGGGGTTAGTAAAAGGTTAAATAAACAATAGGTGTTAAACTTGTCTCTTTTTCACTAGTTTGAAAAACCCATGGTAGATTTAACACACAAGTTGCCCTGTTTAATAAGTTTTAAAGAAAAACAAAAATAGAGCCTTAGAGGACACTACAGTATATATGGTTATTTGTAGTGTATGTCCCAGTTGCGGAAATTCATATTGTCACAATTAAAGTTTTAGTGATCCGACATCATAACATTTAAATTGTATTCACACCATCATACAATTATTACAACTTTTTAATATCTCAAAGTGTACAAAGTAAATTAGACTTTTAGACAAAATGTATGTCAATAATATTTTGATTGTATTCAGTACACATGACCAATAGACAGACTGTAGACAAAAGTAATGCCTGCGACTCTTTATGGAAGATTGATGTTCACTGCGACAGGTTTATTATCTTTTTGTACCCAATCCAAGCATTTCTTACCAGTCTTATTTACAAGACAATTATCGAGGTAAATAAAAAGTAATAAGTTAGAATGTCTGTTAAGCAAGGGCAGTGGCCTGCCAAGGGCCCAGGGTGTTGTAATTAATACAGTCATAGCAAGGTGGGTACAGGTGCCACACCCCTTAAGAGGTAAAAATCTGAGCAAGTTAGTCTTACTGTAGAGAAGTAGGAATGTTTCTTCCTACGGGCTCACTTATCAGAGATAAAATGTTTCAAAGCAAACAGGGACATATTCATTCATCCTGGGAAACCATGAAAGCCTGTTCAGGCATGTTGTCAAGACAAGAGGCCCCACCCTGATCAATAAAGAAAGTCCAGCATTCACTTTCTATAGAGAAGGAAATGTCACTGTATGAAGGGGAGAGATGAATTGTGTTGCAGTATTATGGTTACAAAAGTCTGCAGTAATCTGTGGCAATTAAAGTCATGTTTGTTGTTGTGCAAGTGAAGAGTAATCTTAGGCAGATCTGATAAAAAGGAAAAAAAAAGTGCTTGCTCTTAAGGCCACAATAAACAGATAAATTGTAAATACCATTATATGTGTTGTAAAAAGGAGCTTGAAGTGTGTTTCCAGAAAGGTTGACTTCATGAGGAGTTGTAATAAAAAGCAGTTATAGACTGAATATATATTTAAGTCAAGAACAGGGTTTAAACATGAATGTTATGGTTCAGATGGGGTTTTCACCCTCAGTTAGAATAAAGAAAACGCCCACAAAAAAAAAGAAGCTGTAATCCTTGCCAAGTTTTCTGGATTTCCAGAGGGCTACATGTAGCGATCATTACAGTCTGCCTTTACTCTTAAGATATCAAGGGTTTTTACCTCATATTAGCAAAGAAATGAGACATGTTTTTCTGACTTATGAAATTAAAAACTCGTCAGTATGAAGTGTAATGATGTGCAGTGCACAGGACATTCTCAGAATAACTTAGTGGAACAGCTTTTGATAAAGTTTCTTATTTTAAAACGAAAATTTGTTTGCATATGATTGCAAATTTTTAAACAGGAATTCAGTTTGATTTAATGAAAGTAGATTGTTTAACGATCCTTTGGAATGAGTCACTCATTAAAAAGCAAGATAATTGTCTTGCTTGGTTGATTTTTATTTTATATACATATATATATATATGAATGATGATAGAGTACAGACAAGCATATGATAACTTCACTGTTATCTCGACCAAAAAAGCAGTAATGGATAACGTTTAAAATCACAGACTGTGTAGGAGTCCAGTCATCAAGGTGTAACCACTTTCAGCCACTATTTTCTGTAGGATCTGCTCTAAGTCCCACACAGAAGTGTTTCGTGGAAGAACACATATTTGTGGTTTCTTACTCTCTGTAACAGCCCATTCAGGTGCCAGCAGATTTAGTTACACAGCAGTGAAAATTCTGTAGGAATACTGTTTTCCAATTTCCGATACATTGTGTTTGTAAAATTTCATTGACTTCTCATTGGAATTCAAGGAAAGATTTTAATTAAATCAACTTACAAGTAAAATGAAGTCGGTAAGTTCACTGTAAATTTATCATTGCATGATTTATCTATGAAATTTAGTAAAATTTTAAGAAAACAAATGTTGATAATGATTATTGGTATGTTTGTGAATGATTATGAAATCCGTCATGGACAAGCCCTAAAGTCAATTGTAATTATTAAGATTCTTTAGCTATTGTAACACTTTAAATGTGTATAGAAGTGATCATGTTAATTCACAAGAGGATAATAGCACACATACCAGTAAACTGTTAAGGTGTGTTAATTTAACTTTTATCAGAGTTTTAAATTTTGTCAAAGATAATTCTTCATACGAACTAGTCATCAATGAGAGAACACTTCATTATTTGCTTAGAAAACTAAAATATCCCATGATTCAATTTCTAGGCGTGTCTCGTGCAAACATGTCTACTTTTGTTGATAAATAACGTTACTGTAATTTACTTCTTGGTGTTTTAATTAAGTTAATGAATATTATAATAAAAGTAAGAAGATTGCAAAAAAACCTTAATGCCAACTCACAATGCAGGATATTTTTCTTCTTTTTTTTGCCTGTTTAGCTGATGAGAAAATGATAGACTTGGCAGATTATACCTAGTTATGATGATGGATAAATTACACAATGCTTTCTGGGAGAAGTAACAGATTTTATTGGCAGACTAGGCCCTCTGTTTTTGACATTTTCTGTGTGATTGTTATGATGTCTGTATCAATGTTGATTTTATAGCCAGGTGAATGTTCTCATGAACGTCAAACCAGTAAAAAAAAAAAGACACAACAGATGGTGTGGGGGTATAGGTCTGGGTAGGTTAGGGTGACCAAGTATTTATCTGCATCAGTCATGTCAGTCTAGCAATTTCTGAAGGAGTAAGAGACAACCATGTAATGTTGGCTTTAAATCAGTTGCCTTGCTTCAGAAAAAATAGAACTCGTAGAAATTTGCTATTTGTATATATTTGTAATATAGGGATGGCTTCATCATCTTTTTTGCTACAGTACGTGTTAAAATTGGATTTTGCGTTAGAGCGGTCTTCAAGAAGCTTGGATCATCCCTACTTGATTATTTTTGTAAACTGACAAAGAATTTATTTGTAAATTGTTTCAAGCAATATAAACAAGAGAAAATATACTGCATTTACCTTATCTGACCTTTGCAGTCAACAGAGATGATTTAAGATGTCTGTTAAATCTGATAAATGTAAAAAGAGAAGGAGTGCAAGTTATTATTTTAACCTTTGTGAAAAAAAAATGTTTTTTTGACAAATGTTACCATGTCAGATATTGTTGAACAGATTTGGTGATCATAAAAGCAGATAAATCTGTTCTGTCAGTAATGCAACAAGCAAAAAAAGTATTTCCTTATTGATAAAAAAAGCTTTAGTACTATAAAAGGGTTGAGTCCTTAATAATTGAAAATATACCAAGATCAGCAGGCACTTGATGAATATGTAGTAAGGTTAAAATTAAAATCTTTGAAAAAGATCAAGAGTGTTAGTTGTATACAGTATTTTCATTGTGTCATAGACAAATTCAATTCAACATTTTGTATTTACCCTGACATTTTATTTTTCAGTACAATGTGCGGGTCACGACTATGGATGCAGAGCTGGAGTTTGCCATCCAGACCAGCACCACAGGCAAACAGCTCTTTGATCAGGTAATATCCCTGTCTAGTCTCAAAACCCCCATCTCTCCCCCTCCTCCCCCCAACATGAACCACGTCACAAGTCCTGCAATTACTTTCAGTCTCCATATGTGATACTGATTTGTATATATCCAGTATTTACTAAACCATTGCCGTTGTCATCTTAAAATTTTCTGATGGTGTATTTCTTTATGGTCTTTGGACTATGGAGATCATTGTTTTAGCACAACTGTTATAAGCTCTATTCCTCATTACCATGGGAACTAAATGATATAATTTTTCTTGCCCACATGTTTTCAGAGTCAGGCCTTAAAAGTGATGGCAAAGAGAAAAATGCTGCAATTCATACAGTTCAGCATTGCATAATTACATCCTGGTGATGTTTGACAGGAAGAAGAAAATAAATGGGATCTCTAGGGATTGCCAAACATTTTTTGTCAGGCAGCTAGAATATATAAATTAATGCAAATTACATTAACACAGAAAAATATATAGAGTCTAGAGGTTTTTTTTTTTTAATTTGACAGGGAAAAAGTTTCCTTTTTCACATGAATTGGAAGGGTTGTCAAGTAATTAATATTGTTTTTAGCATTATCTTGTTATGTAATACAGTGTTAACAACCATCTAAGAATTTCAGCCGAACATAAAATATATTCCAAGTCAATATGCGAGTAAGCATTTGAATGTGTAGAGAAAATTGTCCCTACCAGCCTGTATCAGCTGTTACCTGTTTACCTAGGGCCACTGAATACTAATTTAATGAGGGAATTGTATTGACTCGGAGATTTATCTATTTATACATATTGTACATTGTACTAGTGATGTTAGGGTTTCCATATAAACCTTGCACTCATCACAATTACTTTATTGCCATATTTTTGTTTTTGATAAAATAGGGTGGGGGTAGAGTATATTCTTTACCAACATAGAAGAAAGCCAATTTTGATCAGGATATGTATTTAAAAAAAAATGAAGGCTACAGGCTGAAATGATTGGAAGGCTAGAGCTTTCTTCGCCCAAATTACAGTACTTGAAACTTGCAAAATACCTTCTAAGCTCATTGTTATTGGCATCTGTGTACTATGTACTGATAATTAAGCTTTGATGTTGATATCTTATTTGAATCACGATTTGATACAGTTAATAATCTGATAACAAGTATTAGTTATGTACTATTATCTTTTATGTAATAAAATATTTCTGTTTTCTAGGTCGTGAAAACTATTGGTTTACGAGAAATTTGGTTCTTTGGTCTACAGTATGTTGATAGCAAAGGTTACACAACATGGCTCAAACTGAACAAAAAGGTAACTATGGTTGTTGGGGGCTTCAGGAAAGTGGAAATGCACTTTTAATTCAAAACAAGTGTTTAAACTCTTAAATCAAGTTCTTGGTAAAGTATCTAGGTTGTGTTTTGGTTGGTTACAGTGTGGAAACATACATAGATACATTTTTAATTTCCTGTTGCTCTATTTGTACCTGATGGTGTACAAGTTCTAGTTTTACAATTGAAACCTCAGAAATTTGCATACTTCTGATATCCCTAGTAAATTTACAGGATTGGTATTCAAAGCAGAATTAGATAGACTTGTCAGGGTGCTGTGTTATTACGGAGGATTTAGATACTCTCACTGAACAGGCCTAGTGTTACCTGTAATAAAGATGATTGGAGGTGTTACTTGACCCAGAATTCATCAGGTTTTCAATAGAAGTGACCAGTCAGTGGCGGAGAGTTCCAGCTCAGCTTCTAGATTTTATTAATGTCTTGTTTATGGTTGAACATTCTTGGTGAGAACTTGCCTGGGATATGTATATCAAATGTAAATTTACTGCTGACTTAGGTTTATTGTGGACATGCTTCAGTGCATTTTAAAAATGAAAGCAACATAAAATGAAGTTCAGAGAGACATAGCTGTCTATAAAAGTTGTCAAATGCAGGTATACCTTGTGACTTGACTGATTATAGGACTGGGTTGAAATGTAGGGCATACAAGCAGATCAAGAAGACATAATGAGACTTCAAAGATGTATGGGGAGGCAGGGTTATAAATTTCAGTGTATGTTTAGTACACTTGGTGAAATGAGAATAGTTGTTGCAAAATTTTTGTTTGCTTCTTTTCATGTAGACATTTAATAGAATGTCAGGTAAAACTAGTTTTTGTGAATGAAGAGATTTAAATATTCTCCTTTGTTACATCAATTTTTGTGTTAGTTCATCTTAAATGGGTTCTCTGAGCACTTTGAAAGGTCTTGAATGTAAGTGTAAGAAGGTTTTCTCAGGTACCAGTAGAAATGAAATTAAATGGAAATTTTGTGTATTTGAATTTGTGCAGAGTGCAAGAAATAAACTAAGAGAAGTTGTCATTTATTCAAGGCCACAAGCCTTGTAGACTGTAATTAGACCCATTTTATGTTAGACAGCTAATATAATGAAGTATGTAACCAAATGAAATGAATATGAGCTGTTGACTATAGCATGTCAGTCACTTACATCTCTAGATCAAGTTTGTAAGAATCTCTTTAAAATATCTTGTATACTTCCTTAAATACATCTGTTTTTGATGGAGCTACATCTCACACATCTCGTCAATTTTTATATTGCAGGTCCTTAGTCAAGATGTCAGAAAAGAGACACCCCTACAATTCAAATTCCGTGCCAAATTCTTCCCAGAGGATGTGTCAGAGGAACTTATACAGGAAATCACACAGGTACTTGAAAAATAGAAAAACAATGTTATAAAACAGACCACTGATGACTCAATCCAAGGCTACAGAAGGCAGATTTACTTGTTTCCTTAGTAAAGGAGATGTACAAGAAGATGGAAGTGTCAGACCTACCACATTATTTTTTGTGGATTGGGTCTGAAGCTTTGTCACAATATGCATTAGTTTATTTCTCCTTGACAACTTGTTTACAAGATTCCATTGTTGCACCAAGGGAGAAAAAGAATGTGCAGCATTATCAGTGATTAATGAACCCAGCAGTATTAATGCTTCTCACAGAAATGTCATTGTATTGAAGTGTTTCCTCTCTATTAACAATAGTGAACTCACCACTTTATATCAATTCATAGACATTTCTGCTTTACCGTATTGTGTCTGAGATGGGAGACAAAATTAATGTAGCAGGATTGAATTGCTGTCCAATCCACTCTTTAACCTACTATTTGCACAAAAGTGATAAAGAGTCAATTCTCTGGATTTGTATTGTGTGGCAGGAAATACTGAGTCACTAACAAAATAGTAAAAAAAAAAAGTATGTCAAGATGTCCTGCTTTTAGAGTACTTACAAGTATGTAAGTTACACAATATGACTTTCAGCATGTGTGACAGTAAATATAGTGCATGCTTTATGTCTTTTGGATGAGTTAGGAATTTGAACATTCTGTTACCTTTTAGTTAAAAAAAAAACAATAAACCAAAAAAAAAAAAAACAAACAAACAAACAAAACAAAACAAAACAAAAAAAAAAAAACCCACAAAAAACAAAAACCTGTATGAAATATATATCTACATATAAAAAGCTGTTAAAAAAGTGAAAAGTTTAATAGTGAGCAAAATTCATCTTAAAATAAAGAGGGCAAAATCAAACATTTTTTATACCCCCAGAGTTAGGTTAATGGGCAGTGCTAAATATGATTGTGATGCCCCATTTTTTGACACAGTGGATTAGGTTATGATATAGTGGTATGTTATTTGTATTGTACACAATGATATTCTTTTTCTTTAAGAAACAAGGGCCAGTTTTACAAAAGAACTTACGACTAAGACCAAAAACTTAAGTTGATTGTAAAATTTTGCAAAATTAATGATTCTGTTTCAGATAGCTAGCATAAAATTATCTTGTTAAATTCTTTTTAAAAGGATAAAAACCGTTTACAAATTAAAGTAAAATAGAAAGTCATAAGCTGAATTAAATTTTGGTCTTAGTCATAAGTTCTTTTGTAAAACATGCCCCAGCTGAACAACCTTACTGGAAAAAATTATGAAGTTTTCTATCTTCTTAGCATTGTCATGCTTTATTGTTCATTTGCTTTTTAACAGAGAATGTTCTTCCTACAAGTGAAAGAAGGCATCTTAAATGATGAGATCTACTGCCCACCAGAAACCTCCGTCTTATTAGCTTCCTATGCTTGCCAGGCCAAATATGGTGACTACGACCCAGAAAAACACAAACCTGGCTTCCTGTCCAATGATAGGCTCCTACCACAGAGGTAAAGGCTCTCTCTCAAAATTTATCACTGAAAATGTGTAAAGTTATTTCTGTAGATTGTCAGTGCTATCTGAAGGGAGGGAACTCTGATATGCCATAATCTTATTCTTTATAAATAGTGTGTATATTGATAAAAGTGATGGAAATTCTTGTTCTTTATAAATCATCTGTATATTGATAAACATGATAAGGTGATGGAGATATAAATATCTGATCTGTGTATGTGTTGTAGAGTATATGAACAGCACAAATTATCAAAGGAGCAGTGGGAAGAGAGGATACAAAACTGGTTCAGTGAACACAGAGGCATGCTAAGGTAAGTAACTCTTCCTTGGAAATTCTTTGCAATGTCTGCTTGGTTTAGTTTCACTAACTTTTATTTAGTTTTATCATTTGGAATGTAAAGGAAGGAAGAATCTTCTGAATGCTCTGTGCTAGGTGTTTATGGTTGTAGCACAATATAAAGTATGAAGCTTTTGTCTAAAAATTAAACACAAAACCTGTTCATATGGTGTTTGCATTTTACAGGGAAGATGCCATGATGGAGTATCTTAAAATAGCACAAGATTTGGAAATGTATGGTGTGAATTATTTTGAAATCAAAAACAAGAAAGGCACAGAACTTTTACTAGGTGTAGATGCGCTTGGTCTGAATGTTTATGATAAAGAAGACAAGTAAGTGGCAAAGTCCTTTAAATCCTGTGTAAATAAGTTCAATAAAAGCGATGTAAGCCTCTTACCATATTATATTTACAACAGAATGGCATTGAATTCAAATTCTTTTGTTTTTGCAGATTAACACCTAAAATAGGCTTCCCTTGGAGTGAAATTAGGAATATTTCATTTAATGATAAAAAATTTGTCATTAAGCCCATTGATAAAAAAGCACCTGTAAGTATTTGTTTAGTATAATAAAGCTATTTAATTCAGCTTCAGGACTAAATTGTGGGCTCAACATAGAACATTTTCTTCTGAAGTGCAAACTTTTAATACCTGGTAATCATCATTACTAGCCAAGCGTTTTTGTTCCTCTTTACTCCTCACTACCCATGGCCTATTATACTATGAAAATGAGGAATCATTTGAGAGGTGTGATAACTATGATTGGATTTCACTGATGGTGCTTATCAATCGGCAAGAATATTACAAAGCTGAAGTCAATGACATTCTATTTGGGATTTTTCATGATGGCATGTTTTAGGAAAAGAAATGCTCATGTAAACAATGATCTTAAGGATGATGGTATTGTCATTTTATTGTGGCGGCAAGACAAGTCCAATTGCCTGTGGCCAGATAGCTCAGTGGAGCACCTGACTAGGGATGTTGTCATCTTACTTTAATTTAGTATGGGTGGAATGTGACTGGGTGTATATATTGTGGATATATAGTCATTGTATGTAATATCAACAATCCTATATATGAATGGCACAAATGGCCAAGGGTTTTTGAGGAAGGAGTGGATCAGGAACACTTGGCTAGGGAAGATGGTATTTTAGGTGCCTTTGTCGAAGACAAATACATTCAGAAAAATATTGTGTACATTTTAGGACTTTGTTTTCTATGCACCTCGTCTGAGGATAAACAAGAGAATTCTAGCTCTGTGTATGGGAAATCATGAACTTTATATGAGGAGAAGAAAGCCAGATACTATTGAAGTCCAACAAATGAAAGCACAAGCTCGAGAAGACAAGCTGGCAAAACAAATGGAACGACAGAGGCTTGAACAGGAACGACATGCACGTGAGTCTGCCGAGAAAAAACAACAGGAACTTCTAGAAAAGTTGCAGTTGTATGAGGAGGAAAATGCCAGGAGAGCCAAAGGTACATTCATTGCAATATAATTTCTTGTAAATGGCTTAGATTTTGAGGCTGTAAATTGAAATCTTTCAACTTTTTTGTAGAAATTAAATTTTTAAACTTGTGTCCATTAAAATTTGAGGTTTATACCTGTAAGTGAATCATGTTTCGTTTATACATTGAGATATGTGAACAGGACTGTCACTATATGGCACATATCTCCATTTTTGAGATGTTTAGGATATGAAGCTCATTTGATTAAATACTAACTTTTTAGATATAGGCATCATGTCATGTCTGTACAATATTTGTAGAACTGGAGGATCAACAGAGTAAGATACGAGAGCTCAATGATGAGATGGAGGCCTACAAAGCTCAACAGGAGGAGCTGGAGGAACAGAGACGGAGAGCTGATGAACTCCAGAGGCAGTACGAGGAGACCAAACACGCCTCAGAGGAGGAAAAGGCACAAATGGTAGGGGGATCATTCTCTGTACATAAAACATCAGGGGTACTGGCTAAAGCAAATTTTGTTAGACCCTGCTACATGAAATAGAAACATGAAAGTCTCCGGCAAATTGTCCAATTTCTGCAGGAAACATCAGCCATTCTCTGTAGCAGAAATATTAGTATTGGGTCCAGGCCAATGCATATCAGTCAATCTCAATGAAAAAAAAACTTTTAAGGATAAAGCAAATTAGCCAATTCTTCATAATTCTTGAAATATCCGGATCATTTGCCAACAGATACCATGTGATCTGTGGATTGGAAATCAATAACAAATTGACCAATCTCTGTTCAGAAAAAATAAAACATCAGGAAGCAGATAAAGTACTTAGGTCCTACTCAAACTCTTGCCATGGTTACAAGGCAGAATGATTTGTTATAATCTTTGAAAATGCTTTTCATCCTATAGTTTTGGCTTGATTTCATTAAAATCTGTATACAATTTAATAACTGATTTAAGGTACATAATACATTCTGTTTATCAGTTTTTATTTGCAATGAATGATGTTGACATAATTACTTTAAAAAAAAAATTTTGAACCTATTTCAGACCACAGCTTTCAAAGCTGGGCTTGCATATATCAGTTATATGTAGGATAACTGAAATTCTGCAGTGAATGCTCAGTAATTTAGCATCATGCTTACATTCAGCTGATAATTAGATAACTTGCTGTCTAAAGCCATGTAAAAGCATATAATTTCTAAAAGCTCTAAAAATTCTGCTTTTTTACAATGTAATTTTTAAGAAGGCAATATCATCCTTTGTGGAAATTCTTAAGCTAAAAAAAATTGAAAACATACCTTTTTAATTAAAAATCCCATACAAGTATTTTTCTTTTTTCACATTCATTTTATTCAAATGAAGGGAAAGTACAAGACAGGTTTTCTACATGCATGAATGTATAACAATTAATGCTTTTATCATGTGGGTGGGGTGAGTTTCTGTTCACATGTATACATCGTTTTGTTACGTCGCTGTACCCAGACTGTTATCATTATAGCAAAACAGATATGCAGAAAAAAGACGTATGGTATGTCTCTGGATTCAGTATGATATATGATGTATACTAAACTAACTGTTTCACTACAGGAAAAAACAACTCTGGAATAAATATATCAGAAAGTAGAGCAGAAACTTGTATCAAGTATTACATGTAGTTCATTAAGAGATGAAGATTTCTACATAAATTCTGACAGTCACTATATATAAGGTTCATCATACAGCACCTCCCATTTATGTAACTTTTAACATTGATGAGATATACAGAATTTTTATGGATAAATATTAATGTATAATGTTGAAGAATATATCCTAGGACTTATACTAGAGATTATTTATATACAACCCAAGTTATACTACTTTAACAAACTAACAATTACAGTATACATATAAGAAAACCACTTGTGAAATGAAGGAATATTCCTTTTTGACAATTTTTAGAAGTTCCTTACTATTTCATGAAAGAGAAATCAAACCATGAATACTTGAATATCAGAATTTACAAAATCAACATTTACTGTTGACATAAACTCTAAAATTTGGCGGAAAATGGTGATACACGTTGAATGATGTAGAACTTGTACCTTATTTTTCTTTCTGTAGGCTGAGAGATTAGCCGCGGCTCAGCTGGAGATTGAGAGGAGTATGGAGGTACTGAACGAGAAGGAGACGGAGATGGGACGATTACAATCAGACCTGGAGTCAGCCCAGCAGGAAAGGGAGGAGAAAGAACGGGCCCTAATGGAAGCCATGGCAAACATCCACGTCAAGGAGCATGAAACCGAGGAGAATGATATCGGAGAAAACGGACAGGAATTCAGTAAGTCTACTGTAAAGATGTAATCAAATCCTCATTGGAGACTAAAACTATAGTCAAATCCTCATCGGAGACTAAACTATAATCGAATCCTAATCAGAGACTAAAACCATAGCCAAATCCTCATTTGAAAGTAAAGCTATAGTCAAATCCTCATTTGAAAGTAAATCTATAGTCAAATCCTCATTTGGAAGTAAAGCTATAGTCAAATCCTCATTGGAGACTAAAGGTATAGTCAAATCCTAATCAGAGACATAAGCTATACTTAAATCTTAATCAGAGAAAACAAGCAGATAGCCCAGGCAATTTATCATTAAGCGTCAAGCTAATTGCAACAGAATTTGTTTTTGTTATAAATAGACTCCAGGATGTGCAAAATAAATCCGATAAGGAGAAAGCATTAAATTCTTAAGAAAAGGAGCATAACTCTTGTTATTATGGTAAAATTTAGTTAAATTTTTAGTGCATTTTTCCACATATAGTGTATATTTTAAAAGAAATATTGCTGGAGTACAACCAGAGAGAGAAGATATTCAAAGTACACCTTTTCATTTTATTTTATTTATAGCTGCTGACTTGGATGAATATGAGAATGCAGCAGAAATGGCTCGACCAGAGGAGGAACGAATCACCGAAGCCGAGAAGAACATCACACTGCAGAAACAGTTAGAGGTCAGGGTCCTTCAAGTTCTTCCCTCTCAATATGAAATTTCCAATATCAATATTTTGAATCTTAAGTCACTACTTCCAACTAGAAAACACATGGCAATCAGCTTGTAATGCACAACAAGTTTTTATTTATTTATTGTTTTTGGTCATGGTCAAATGAAACATTTAGCTTGTGAATTTCTTCAGTGTGCCTTGTTGAAATGATATACCTGATGTCTAAATTTAAAGAGACTGATATTCAAAAAAAAAAAAGACAAAAATAAAACTTACAACTCCTTTTACACATGCATTCTTATTTTGTTGGAACATAGGATTTCATATCCTTAAAAATAAAAAGAAGACACAATGGCCTATATAAGTTTCAGAGATGTTTCCATAAATTGTATTAAAATTTCATCATATTCAGGATGAAAGATTTGTATTATCTTTATTTTAGGCATTACAAAAAGAACTAGAAGAATCCAAAGATGCCCAGAAGGCCACATTGAACGATGTCTTGCACGAACAAAACGTGAAACAGGGGCGTGACAAGTATAAGACTCTGAAACAGATTCGCAGCGGCAATACCAAACACCGAGTGGATCAGTTTGAGGCCTTGTAGAGAAAACCTGCATAAATAGGAACAAATTTATATATTTTATTGACCATATCATGTCTGTTATGCGAGGTTTTACCTGGGCTGGGGTGTGTGTACAGTATATTATGGTCTCTCAACATAGTCTTATGACAGGTGACACATCAAACATGGACAAAAATTATTTCAAGTTTGATTCAACAGATAATTTTGATTACTGCAGACTAAGGAGGAATTGCTTATAACCAGAACGTTGTATCACCACATGAATAATGGGTTGTCTAATGTTATTCATTCATGCAATTACTTAGTACATCATTGTACAGGAGAACATCATGCAGCGAAAATACGTCACTATTTCTAAGCTTTATGTTACAAAGTTTTCATGGTTTATTTTTATTTTTCATTTTATTTCTATGAATGAGGTTGGAGCAATTAACTCGGAAACATAAGGGAGGGTGGGATGTAAAGACAGTAGATTTATTTTGTAAAGTGTAACTAAATGTAACCAGATTGTTTATATTTTTTGTACAATGTAATGCAGTTATGTATCATCTGATGTTTGTTAGTGACTAAAGTATTCACAAGTATATTTATTTTTTTCTTTACTAGTTTTGAAATTTTCAATGTATGCAGAGATTTTTATATATTCTTTGAATGTTTAATACCATGGCTGCATTTTTAAATTAGTCACAATGATTATTTAATAGTTGGATAATGAAGTTTCAAATCCAGAAATCCAAAGAAAGCCATCTCTTTATAGGTCCAATACAAGATATTGTAGATGTGATATTATTTTGACTCACTGGTGACCAGTTCTGACAAAAAACAACTAGTTATAATATTTAAGTGTCAGTGAAATTGTTTCATAAAAATGATTTTAGAAAATTTGTCACTTTTAAGTCAAAAAAAAAAGCTTGCCAGTTGGTCATACATTTATTTTGTACTTAGATAAAATTTGGGGCTTATTTCATTCCTGTCTATATATATACTGCCATTATGTATGTTTCAAGCTTTGTTTATAGCTATTGCACGTTTACATGAGTTCCATAGCATAGCTGTTCATTAAATGGCGTTGAATTGATGCAGGGGAAAGAAAATTTCTATAGGATATCTTTATACTGTAAGGAAAACTGGTGTTAACTTGTGAAAGCAGTGGATTGTGTTAATTATGTAATTGAATCATCTTCAGCATTCCAGTCGGTCACTTCATCTTTTACTGGTCAAGTGCTGTAGTGGTCTCTGTGTATATACTTCCTGAAGATATGTATTGATATTTATATTTTTTTACTTAGTGGAGCACCTTGCTAGAAAAACTTGTGATACATTCTTGCCTGATATTAAAAACTTTTTTTTCTTAAAATAAATTTCTTTTCTAAAAGAGTCTGTAAATAAATTTCAACAAGTTTAATCAGTAGATACATTTATGATGCATTTCTGTAATTCAGGATACATTTGGTGTAATTAGGCATTAGGAAACATATTTTCTTTCTTTGTGGAGCAGTTTTTCTTCTCCAGTAATGGTAGGGTTATTGTATTCTTATGAACAAGTGTCCTGTTAGTAGAACAATCTTCTTGTGATACATGTAGCACTTGATTGGAAATTGTCTCATACCATCATTTGTCATGATTGAATTGATATATAATCAATATATATACTGAATAAAATCATTGGACAATGCAGTAATGCTGTTTTTTTTTTTGGATTTGGTAAAGGCGCTGCAGGGTAGAAATGCAGATAGTTTTTCATTTTTGAAACTCTAACAGAGAAAGGGATCATTTTTGAAACTCGCAGAGAAAGGGAGAAATTGCCATGGTAGAGCAAAGATTGACCATAAGTACTTTGTGGAATACAAAGAATTGAGCAAAGGAAAGTCCTTGTCAATATGAGAAAGAAAAAGATGCTGCGAAATTGCTGTTCATCCGACATGGTTCAATTGAAGGATATATAGCAGGAACTATAAATGAATTTCAATTTTTTTTATAGAAAGATAAAACGATCGATTGTATGATTTACATTGCATTCAAGAATTTTTTTCCTCTTGTACAAAAGTCACCAGCTTTAGGTTTAGTGCCAAATTTTAACTTCTGTATTGCTCTTGTTTCCGTAGCGGTGAGGGTTCTTTGTTGGGATATCACCTGTGACATTGGACCTTTGTTTTTGAAGTCATATCCAAAAGGCCTATGACTCGCATCTAATGCCTGGCAAAGAAAAAGTCCCTACATTTGTTATTAAACGTTTGATGCAGTGCATTATTGGAACCCACAGGTTTTCTCTTTGTTGCACTACGTTGAATGTAGTGTAACGGAGAGAAAAGCCATGGGTTCCGACGATGGATGTAGTGTTGGGAATAGGGATTGAACAGGGCCTATTATTCATGAGGTGAGGAAAGATGCATTTAGTTTAAACACTGATATTGGCATATATGAACATTTGTTTTTACATGCAAAATTGCAAGTGAAATCTGTTAATCAATGATTTGGACAGAAAATGACGAATGATTAGATTTTCAGCACCAGTGAATAATTTGTGCAAATAATGCAACAAATATTTATATATACAGTTGAAATTTAAAAAAAAAACCTGCAGATTTTCTCCAAAATAAATTACAAGCAATTGGCAGCTTGTGGAAAACAAGAAAAATCTGCAAATTTTCTTTGAAATAAATTACAAGCAATTTGCAATCTTGTGGAAAAGAAGAGAAAAAAAATCTTTCCGGAATTATTTTATCCCTTCAGATTGGTTTCTTGCTTATATATTTTCGTTCATCTTAGGATTTCCCGTAATTTTTGCTGAAGGAAAACAAAGACCATATTTTTGTACTTTTATTTATGGAAAACAAGATATAAAGATGCCAAGTGGACGGCGTATTTTATCCCGTATACAGTCAAATTCTTATAATAACAGCAGTAAAGGAGGGAATGGAAGGTAGTGTTTCTTATACGTACACGTAATCCAAGACTTGTCGTTTTGACAGAACACCTGATTTGTGTATATAATTAATTTACAGATAACCACATGTTGAGCAAAATTCAATTTATGGGGATAACTCCATTTATAAGTAGAATAGGAATTATCTTCTCATGAAAATTTAAAAATTAGAATCACATAAAAGGGGGGGGGGGTAACTATTTTAATTGTCTGAAATAGCCATGTTTACATTTAGACTAAATTAATTTTGATGAATATATGGGGGTTTGTTAGACAAAAATATAGTCATATAAAATAGCTTATTAGTAGATTTTCCAAACATGTCACCGCATGAAATAAAAATAACATGAATAAATAATTAACCTTTTTGCACTTGGTTAATATGATGTAAACTGTCAATTATTTAATTTAGTTTTAATGAACACTTTAGAGAAAGAGTTCATATTAAAGAAAGAAATTGTTTGTTATGAACAGCAATTTTGAACATAATGAATAATAAAGTAGATTTTGAAAAATAGTTATTGAAATATTCATGCCTTGAACTTTTTGCACTAAAGATACAAACAGACCTGTTATATAAAATAACAATGTTATATCATTGTTTCCAAATGCATAATTTTATATTTTTTTACAGTCACACAGAAGATAGAGATTCAAATATGGTGCCCCTGGCACAGATGGCTGTTCTTCCAAAACACTGCTACCTTCCAGAAATCCCTAGCGATCCCAACATGTCATTTGAGGCCATGTTGTATTTCTTTGGAGTGATAGCCATGGGACTACAGTATATTAATCTGTATCGCACTGTGTGGTGGCTCCCGCACAGTCATGCAAATTATGCCCTTGTAAGTTCAATTTTATTGGAAAAAGTTATCAATGACATTTAAATTATGCTACTATTCATGAAGAATAAGATTTGCTATTCAAGCGGTCTATGACAGATTTGCAAAGAAAACAATCAGCCCTTATAACAACTTGCAAACGTTTTTCTTCAGAGGTACAAAAAAAATCTCAGTAAAAAAGCAACAGTCAACTTTCTGGAAGAATATAATTCATCATCACTTATGAAAAATGAACAAAATCAGAACAATATAAACCAGAAAAAAAAGATCAAAATACACAATGTAATTATTTTTGGTACAAACAATTCATTTTACTTTGATAAAATGTGAAGGGAAGTTTCTTGTCCTCTTAATCATCAGACCCCCTCCTTGGCCCAAAGATTTTCTACCAAATATAGATCTGTGTATTTTTTTCTTTTTGTTTACAGAATTTCTATCTGATTGATGTTTATCTCGTGCTGTTTTTATGTTTCCTGATGTGCAGAAGGATTGTTTGGTGCTTTGTTCAAGAGGTAACACATAGAGAATTATTTTGTATATCCAGTAGTCTACACAGTCTTAATTATTTCTTGATAAATATAAGTTTTGCAGTTGTCATCGAAAATCAATTTTGAATAAACATCATTCAGTAATAAGATACAGAAAAACTAGTGAAACATTGATATTTTCCCCATCAGAGATACCAGTGTAACCAGTACATATAAATTTCAAATATATATTCAAGGAATTGTATGCAATGATGGAATTTATAATCATTATAATATTTTGTGATTTAATTTGTTCAGATATATGGATCTAGGTCCACAAAGAGTGTAATATATTGGGTTGTCCAGCTAGTAAAAGGGGTACTTTTGGCTATTAATGCCCTTGGCCTGGTCTATACAGCGTACCAGGTCATTACAAACCACTCAGCTTTGTATTGCCTGTTTCTGTCATGTCCGTAAGTATCACTGGTCCATTAAGTACGTCATATATTATATTATATATTCCTGTATCAAATAACCATACACTACATATAATAATTATTGAAAATTTTATCACTATATTTTTTGATTACATGTATGATAAAATTTTGTGCTATGTGCTTGTATTCATTCGGCAAACCTCGGCTGATTCCGGCATCTTCATCAAACATGAGGTACGAATCGGCCGAGGTGTGCCGAGTGTTCTTGTATTATGCAACCTGGTGTTACATATTCAAATAAATACAAATACTTGTGAAAAAAAATTCAGTTTGCTTTCAATATCCTTGAAATTAAAGATTTTCAGAATGTTATGTCCCTGATGCAAGGTCAGTTTGAGAAGTTCAAGGTCACTTGCAGAATTAAATTTGTTTTAGGATAATAACTTCGTAATGGACAAAATTGGAGGTTGATACTTGTAAAGTGTAAGATGTTATGATATGCCATTCCTTGATCTAAGGTCTTCTTGAATTCTAAGTCTATTTATACAGAAAATGTGTAAATTTGTGTCGGTTTCTCAACATTGAAACAGGAAAGTGATGAAAGCCCATGCTTGCTTGACACAATGATTGTTTATGAGAGTATAATCTGACATTGACTTTAGATTATTTTGACACTAGTCATTCAAAGTCACACAAGACAGAAAAAGTGCACACTCTCTCACAAGAACATTTTAACTCATCTCTGATGTAAATGTTTATAATTAGGTGTCTTTAACTTGACCCATGACACACAAGGTCAAGGTTATTTGGGGATGAACTGTACTACTTGAGGGTATCATTTTGTGTGTTTTTCGACAAAAATATAATTTATATGTGAATATAAGTTTAATATGATTCTCATTACGGTAAATTTCTGTTTTCTTTTTCCAGAGCTATTACTTATGTTTTCCTGTTCGGTCCTTCCATAAAGCCTTTGTACCATAAAAGTCTGGTGTGGCCTTCACCTGTGTGCGATCGACCACGTCACAAGAGGGAGGAGGATGAGGTCATTTTGTACCATAATTGTGTGTTGACCCCTGATGTAATTAGGTCAGAGGTCGACCAATTTAAGTCAGACTTCAATAATAGGATCAAGCAAGTTTTGTTCAATTCACTCCTTACAGCATACTACATGACCTTTGTACCACTGTGTTTTGCTCAGGTGAGGAAATATATCGAATACAGTACATTTGTACCTGTAGATGCACCTGAATTATATCTGTAATTACTAATAGTGTAAATTTCCCTCTTAGCTGTGATGAGTTAAAGCACCAATGAAGCTTTTATATATTGATTGAAAACAAAGTCAAAGATTGAAACATGACAATATAATATAATGAGCTAGATGTTAAATGAAAAGTGCTGAGTACATCACAGAGAATAGGGAACCAGTTGTTTGGCTGGTTATCCTACCCTTATTTATTAATATGTAGCAAATATTGACCAAGCATTAGACACATATAAATGATCAAGTTGGATTGGGAATTTGATACTTTTTTACACTCTAATTTACACCTTTGCTTTTATAATTTTTCTCTCTGGTAGCATTCTTTAGATTAAGGAGTGCTACTTCTTTATAAGCATTCCCTGTAATAATATTCATTACACTATAAAGTAAGAATTAATAGATGCACCAATTTATGAATATGCTACAAGCTTTTGATACAGTAGATTCCTGGAACAGTCTTTTTTTAGTACAATTCAATTTTTTAATCACAGAATCACCTTAACAACCCAGAGGTAACTTCTCATTTCAAAAATTCATATCTTTTCTTTTTAAAGAAAAATGGAAGGGTTTTATTTTGAATCTTCAATTTTAAACTTGACAATTTTTATCTCTTGTAAAATGCACACTAAACTAACCTTGGATCCTTGTATGAAACTCAGTGAAAACTGGTATAATTGCTGAAGAGGTCATTTTAATGGCATGATATTTTTATCAAATTGAAAATAACTTCATCGTTTTTTATTACACAGCATGAGGTTAGATATATGCCTTTATTGAATTGTATTACTAATTTAGAGCATGCTCATTTCCAAGATGTACTGTATATTATTTTGAAAGCTTATGCCTTTAAACCTGCCAACAAGCTCTTAGTTTAAAATTTACTTAATAAAAGTGACCTTCATCAATGATCAACCTGAATGATCATACTTGATATTTAGAACGGCTTTATTTTGTTAATGATTTTTCAGATAATAAACAGAGGACACTAATTATTAAGAATTGCTCTATAGAAATGATGTACTTGTATTTTGTATTTGCGACCTTGCACTCTATGATTAGAACATTAAATTACATTTTTTGATAAACTATATTTCTCTCTCGTGTGATGTATGTTTGCAGGTTTTTCAAGCTAAGTTCAGTAGGTTGGAAAAAGTTGCTTAAGTTTGTTACTTTGAATAATTATTGAATTATTGTACCTTCATTATCTTGAAGCAAAACTGGGATTTTCCACTGCCCCATGTAGGGCCAAATTTAGACCCCATTCCAAATTGCAAAACCCCTCCCTTCCACCCCCCCCCTTCCCCCAAAAAACAAACTGTGTGTTATGGTCAGAGTTGAAAATCAATGGAATGACAAAAGTTTAGGGAAGCCTTGTTCTGTTGATGACTGACAGTTTGTTAATTAGTCTTTTCTCTAAATGAAAGTTCTGAATAATTAAATAAAAGCTTTGATTTATTAATCATTAGTTTTTATTTCTTGAGAATGACCATCATGATATGTGTATATAATTTTCCATTTAGTGAAAAAATGTTGTTAAATTCCCAATTCCAAAGCCCCAGACCCCATTCTTTAAGTGTAGTGGAAAATCCCTGCAAAAATCAATGAAAAACACACATATTGTATAAAAATGTTGCTGAATCAGTGTTTTAAAGATAAAGTTTCAAAGAAAATAGATTCAGGGGAATGTTGGTCTACTTTTCAAAAATTTTGAATCGGTGTAGAGATTCAAAAAGTTGAATACTTGACTAACATTTTGATTAAAAAGTTTACCATGCTGTAAGTGCCAATTACGATTATAAATAAAATGTAGAATGAATATGATTGTATTAATCTCCTTTGCTCTAGCATGTACAAAACACATGTGAGTCGTGCTGGGTGAGTTGTTCTCTGCAAAAGACATGTCGTCAACTTTTATTTTTACGGACTTTATTTTTTTAAATTTTTCTTTCTTTTTTTTAGAAATATAAAAATATTTTTATTTCTTTCATTAAAGTTTCTTTACATTTTTAGCATTGTTTCACTTTTATGCATACAGTATAGTTATTTTTCACTGTTACATAATTACCAGAGTTTCTAGAACTGCATGTGTTAAGAATTGATAAGAATACTAGTATATGTATGTATAGACTATAGAACATTTACATCAGTTAACTTTTTTCTGCTTTAACTCTCAGAAACTTTTAGTATCTTCCTGTGTAATAAGTTTATCTTCAGTAATCTCATATGTTGTGAAGCTTTTTAGCTCACCTGAGCTGAAAGCTCAAGTGAGCTTGTTTGATCGTCTGTTGTCTGTCCATCTTTAAACTTTTCACATTTTCAACTTCTTCTCAAGAACCACTGGGCCAGATTTAACCAAAGTTGTAACAAAGCATCCTTGGGTAAAGGGGAGTTTAAATTTTTAAAATGAAGGGCCAAGCCCCCTTACAAGGAGAGATAATTAAGAAAAGACAAAAATAGGGTGGGGTCACTTAAAAATATTCTTCTCAAGAACCACTGGGCCACAAAAGCTGAAACTTATCTGGAAGCATCTTGAGGTAGTGAAGATTCTAAATTGTCAAATCATGACCCCCAGAGGTAGGGTGGGGCTACAATACGTATTACAAGGGGGAAAATCTTGTGAAGAACAGGAGGCCCAAAGTTACCCAGGTGAGCATTGTGGCCTCTTGTTAATAAAATGAGAATGTAGATCATTTCTGTGTGTTAGTCCCAAGGATTCTGTTGTTATGTTCTAATAGATAATGGTTCATGTAATATAATCAAATGGTCATAGATTAAGTTCCAGACTAGAATTTAAAATGATGACATTATTTAAAAAGAAAATATCAAATTAGAGTTCATGATTAAAGTGTTATAGTGTATACAGTTTATGAGCATGTCAGATATTTTAATACCTTTCCTGTCTTTGTCAGTCTATGTGTATATTACGTACTAATTAAGCTACTGTCATACTGTGACATTCCACACTCATAAAAAAATAAAACCTTTTCGCAGATTGCTTTCTCAGTGATATACAAAATTCTATATATTATGTGATTTTGCTATTTTCAGAACACTTTGTATTACGACACATGGTGGGTGGGCCAGCATGTTGTAGTCACATGGCTCTCTGCGTTTCTGATGCTGATAGTACATTACCTACCCCCTAAATACCTGGATCTGTTACACAGGACAGCTCTCCATTTGGGTCGCTGGCAAAAAGTGGAGGGGAGACATGCCCATGTGCCATATAATGCGTATGTGTTTATGACCTAAGGAGACCGGAAATTAGTGGAACATATATAATGATAGTGAAAGCTAAACCCAGTGTTTCACTTATTTTGGTTAAACTGGCCAGACTATTGATTGATAACTTGCTGTATTTGTTCCTCCTTTTGTGTGTCAATAATTTATTGTACTGGATGACTCTACATGTATTCTATATCCTCTTCAAACTCCATGCATACATGTAGATAAATCAGGTTGAGGTGTTTTAAATTACACAATCAGTATTAACCTTGATTGATATAGGCTGGTAAGACATATCTCAGTTGGGAGAGGGTATAAAATACACGTATTATGATTGTCATCTTCTGACTTCACATAGTACATAGATAAATCTGGATGACCTGCCTAATGTTTGGCCTTGACCTTTAAACTGGAATAAGTAAATCATTTTCTGTGTCATATCTCTGTTTAGGTAATTTAAATCTGATAAAACTAGATATTATTCTATCAAAGATCATTTTAAGCAATTTCTCTCTTGTTTTGAGGTTGTATTCTTATTTCAGGTGGTCAGAGTTGACAGTTTGGCCACAAGGTGCGCTGGTCAAACATGTAAAGGGGTTGTTTAAGGCAGAGGGGATCAATGTTACAGCAGAGCCCGGCAATGGAATGCATGGCAGATTTTATGTAAGTAGGAACATCATTTTTTTTGAAATTTTTCATCAAATAAGGCACAGAGATAAATCTGTTTTGCATTACAAAAAAAAAAAAAAAAATCCTGAGTCCTAAGGATAGAAAATAACAATAAAAAAATTTGAATTATCTGAACGTCTTACAATTTTTTTTCTTATTTTCTCTCTCTTTTCAGTTTCTTTTTCATCAGCCAATGAGAGTGGTAAACTGGTTACTTATTTTAACATGGCTCCTGGTGGGTTACCAGTTTTTCTGTCTCCTACAAAGCACGGAGTGGAACCATATTGTCTGCATAGCTCTTGTTTTATTCTGCAATTATTATACTCTATTCAAGCTTTTAAGGGACAGAATTATTTTAGCCAAAGCTTATAAAGAGGAAATTTCAGAGGAGGAAAAGTGACATTTTACCATGACTTTACATGCACAACATTTAAAAAATATGTGTATTTATTTATTAAAGCTGACCATGCCAAAATGATATCAAAAGTATGAGATTTCTTTGAACTGAAATCTTCTTTATAATGCACTTTTTCTGCATACTTGATGAACATTTGTGGCCCATCTTCATTTTGCATGGGATGCTGGATAACTTATGTTTGTTGTACAGATGTAAAAGTGCTAAATGTTAATTCATGCTGAGCATGTCCTAAGTATTCTACATAAATAAATATATTTGCAGCATTGAATCTTCTTGCATTATGGTTTTATTTTATCTTCAAAAGAGGATTTATGTTATATATGTTGAAAGATCACTTGTTTATCATCACATGAATCTGAAACTGATTAGAACAGTATATGCAAATTTAAAGTAAGGCAAGAAAAACTTGATTTTCTGTTTTACAGTTGTTGCCCCCCTAGTCTTGGTTATAAATTTTATGACTTATGTATTGAAATTGTCTCATTTTTATGATGTCCTTCATTATAATTGGGAATTTCAATAGCAGTCATGAAAAGTAGCATTGCTGAAAATATGAACTAAAATCATGTAACACTTGGTTAATTAACAAAGTCTTTCCTAAGGGTTCCAAACAATAGGCTTTATACCGTATAGCGGGTTTCTCTAGCGGATGTAAAATTTGGCGTTTTGCTTGCTCAAGGGTATGTCAGTAATTTTGGCAAAACTTTTTTTTGGCAGACGAGGAGTTCCATGACTTTGCAAAAAAAGAGGAAATTAATCTTTTAGATGAGTTTCAGTACGTTAAATATATGTTTGAATACCAATTTTTGCAAGATATTTGAGCAAATTCCAATGCCAGTTGAAAGATATAACGTTTAACAACAGACTGATCAAAGTTAGTTATTTTTCTTGTATTCAGTACTTATAGGCAAAAGTGTTAATTTAGGGATTAAAATTTTAGCGGTCTACTACAAAACCACTAAAATAAGCCAAAGTTAGCATCCCGCTAAAAATTCCTGCTATACAACAATTCATAGAGTTGTAAAATACATGAAATGTGAAAATAACTGTTGGTATAAATGAAATAGGGACGCTGGAATGTTAACTGGATCAAGGTTAATAACACTCCCTTACCTTTCCTTCAAATGTCTATATAATTTTTTAGCTCTACTGGTCAGAGACCAGAAGATCTTATGCGATAGTAAGGTGTCTGTCCATCGGTCTGTAAACAATTTTTCAAAATGCTACTCCTACAGTTTTGATCTCATTTCAATATAACTTGGCACATAAGTAGACTACACTAAGATACATAATTCTATGCATCGGTTTTTGATACTAAACCAAGGATCATTATTTGATTTATTGCTGTTCCATAGTTTCAAGCCTGCTACTTTTCTCTGCCTTAATTGTTACAAGTACAAACCAGTTTAGCTACAGTCTCATCAGAGACTTCTGGTTTTGTGCTTCTCATGTCACTTATATTTTGATAAAGATTTTCCTTTCTTTATGCAAGTCTAACCATAAATTTTTTTTAATTTTCTAAAGAAGCATGAAAGCACAATCTAATATATATAGTCTTTGTATGAAATCAAAACCACAGAATTATTAACAAAGAAAATTTTTGAAATTCTTTGTAGAAACATGCAATTTTGTCATGAAAAGATAACACATAAAGATCACAGGTGCCCACTAAATGTTCTGATTATGACTGAAGGTAAAATGTAGAAGGTACAAGTCTGAACATTTCAAATATATCAGTACATGTACCTTCATTTACTTAACAATCTGAAAGAGTACTATGGAGCACCAAAGCCACTTTTTAATGTGAAAAATAATTGGTGTGCATTTACATGGCAGTGAAAACAATAAAAGATGATAGCTTAAATAAATTTATTGAGAAAAACTCAAAATTCAGTGAGTTTTACCACAAGTATCACTGTTTAACTGACACACATTGGACAGCATCATGTAAAGTGACAGTTTTATTTTTGAGGCAGGTCTGTGTATACACTGAGATCCTTTTCTTTAAGCATGTGAATGACCTCAAAAATGGGATGTTCAATTTTCTGGCTGAACTGGTAATGTTAAAGTTAGAATCTGTAAGGAAAAACACAGGAACTACATGATCCATCTAGTATTAATCTTTGTAGACAAGATTACAAATTTTCAAACCTTTTTATCTATAATTTGTATTTGAATCTGAAATTTTTTTTTAATATTGATCTCCAGTGCATGCTGCATGCCAACGTACACAGGACATGAACTACAAAATTAACCTTCTATTATTCACGAATGACTGACTTAAGAATTTTTTTTCTAATTTGAACAATTAAATAAAACCTTAGGTTTATTTTACAAGTTCATCTTTTCTGCTAGTTCATCTTTGCAAGTGAGATATAGTAAACACCTATTGATTTCTTCACTGAAACAGATGTAAACATCTCTGATATTCTTTCCCAGCCTTGATAGACTCTAAATCTTGTTTTTTAATTGACTTGAACTTACCCTTGTTTACAATAGACTTAAATTTACTCTTGTTATACAACTGACTTAAACTTACCCTTGTTTTTCGGTTGAATTGAGCTACACAGTCCTCCTGTATGAGTAGATAAGGTAGGTAAATATCTAGGTAGTATTTATTGGACCGTGTCTCCAGGACTAGCCGGTCCTCTCCTACATCAATGGTTAATGTGTTGGCCATTTTCTGTCAAAATATTTAAAATAATTGACATGGGCATTTGTACCAAAAGTGCCAGATTAACAAAACTTAATACATGAATTCAATCCAAAAATTGATTGATATCTGGTTCATACTTGTTGAATGGGCATGGCCCAATCTAAGAAGTCTGATTTTAATTAGATTGGGCATGGCCTGTCCTTGCAGTTCTATTTTAAATGAAAACTGAGCTTTCAGCCTTTCAGCCTACTGCTGTGGATCAGTATGTTTGTGGAGGTTAAGATTTTGTGGGTTCTCCTTAATTCTTACCCAAGAATTTAAAAAACCTCACGTTTTTTGTGTGACTTTGTTAATCACATCACAATCTTGTGAGCATACATGTTGAGTTAACCACAAAATTTGGCCCCCACAAATTAAAACTATTCTGCAGTAAGTTAAAGGCATCAGACATCATTACCCTATAATTTCACACATCTGTAAGATATAATACAAATTTTTTAATTATTACTTTAACCATATACAGTAAAACATGCTTATAATGAAATACCAGGGATGGATGATTTTGCTTTGTTATAAAGGTATTTTGTCATATCCGTTAAATTCACAATATTTTAAAGCCACTTGGAAATGAAAATACCTGGCTGTAAGGGTCAATACATTATAAACGTGTTTGCTACAAGCGTGTTTTACTGTAATTAATGTATATGAAAAAATAATATTACACATACTTGTACATTATACATGAATAAAAAAAAAGAACTACATGTACTTGTAAATGTATTTACCACATGTGGAAGGCTGATCTCAGCCACTAAGAAATCCGGGTGTCCTTCTGGAGGTTCCTGGATGATCCGAAATTCAGGTTTCTGACCTCTGTCAATTACAGATAAACATGTACATGTATGTGTTTGTGAAAAAAGATAGCTGTATGAAAATCTGATTCAATATTCCAAATTCAAGTGTGGACTTTCATTAGATCTTTATGTCAACACCTGTCTTTTTCTGCCTTTACTAATCAGACCAGAAGTGAATTATGTTTATTAGCATGAAGGAGATTTAAGTCTGTAAACTTTCAAGCTACATGCAGGCATGATTAAACCACATATTGAGTGATTATCAAGAGAGTGTTAAAAAAAGTTTTAGAATATGATATCCATATTGAAAAGTTTTGTAACGGTGATATATTGTAGCCAATCTTTACACTAGCCACAGCTAATGTTGACTGACTTTCTACTAGCCACTCCAAATTTTTACAACTGTTTGTACATAGGGCTAGCATAGGACATACACACAACATTTAAACAATGTTTGGACAAAAGGAAAGTAAATCACAAACCTACAAGACTTGTTGATGGATTTGATTGTGCACACATAAAGTGAGTAAAATATGTATGAACTGTGTACATGTATTTCCAACACATATACATGTATTTAAGCTCAACTTGATCAAAGTCCTTATGCCCTTCTGAAGACCAATTAAAAAGCCTTCAATGAGCACCTTTAGTTGAGCCTCTTATAAATCGTTATTGTCTTAAGGTAATCCACTGTTACCTGGCTCTGAGTTCTTCTTGAGATAGAGGCTTAGGTGTATCCATTTCCTGTATTAATGGTTTTCCTAGTCCAGACATTGACTGACTGTAACAGAGACAAAAGCATAAAATTACACCTCATCAACTCTCAGTGTGAGGTAACAAGCACCTGTCTTATAGCTTAAAAGACATGATCTGATTTTACAGCTTTATGAACTCTATTTATTCTGGATTTCCTGCTTTGATAAGTTCAGTTTCCCCTTACTCTCCCATTTCCATGATGACAGGTTTAGACTGTGTCCTGACATTCTGTTCCTGGAGTCTCCCTACACTTTTCCTGTTCTTAAGGATTACCCAGTCTGAAAAAAAGAATCATAAGAAATAATACTGTGTCAACTGGACAATATTTTTGTTTTATTCTTATGACTTTATAACAGAGCTTTACATGTTTTAATAAGTTGATTGCTTGTATACTGAATTATGTTAAAAAAATACAATTTACACAGTCTGAAAAACTGCCACACTAAGGTGTGCTATACAATTTTTTTGTTTCTTGGTCACTTTTTTTAAGTAACAATATAAACATTTAATATCTGTTGTTTATTTTCTCAAAACATTTGATGACCCAAATGATTCACCAAACTGAGGAGTGAATACATGTACCGAGATGCTACATAAACATAAAACACCTCTGAACAATGATATGTAGTATTTATCCTCAAGGTCTTTATACATAATACCCACCTCTGAACAAGGATATGGAGTATTTTTCTTCTAGGCCTTAATACATGATACCCACCTCTAGACAATGCTATGGAGTATTTTTCTTCTAGGCCTTTAGACATGATACCCACCTCTAGACAATGCTATGGAGTATTTTTCTTCTAGGCCTTTATACATGATACCCACCTCTAGACAATGCTATGGAGTATTTTTCTTCTAGGCCTTTATACATGATACCCACCTCTAGACAATGCTATGGAGTATTTTTCTTCTAGGCCTTTATACATGATACCCACCTCTAGACAATGCTATGGAGTATTTTTCTTCTAGGCCTTTATACATGATACCCACCTCTAGACAATGCTATGGAGTATTTTTCTTCTAGGCCTTTAGACATGATATCCACCTCTAGACAATGCTATGGAGTATTTTTCTTCTAGGCCTTTATACATGATACCCACCTCTAGACAATGCTATGGTGTATTTTTCTTCTAGGCCTTTATACATGATACCCACCTCTAGACAATGCTATGGAGTATTTTCCCTCCAGGCCTTTATACATGATACCCACCTCTAGACAATGCTATGGAGTATTTTTCTTCTAGGCCTTTATACATGATACTCACCTCTAGACAATGCTATGGAGTATTTTTCTTCTAGGCCTTTAGACATGATACTCACCTCTAGACAATGCTATGGAGTATTTTTCTTCTAGGTCTTATGACATGATACCCACCTCTAGACAATGCTATGGAGTATTTTTCTTCTAGGCCCTCCAAAGTCACAGACAAGAAGAAAGTTTTAAATATTTCACTGTCCTTCATCTTCTCCATGAAGCCTGGGTGTATCACAACATCATACGCTGTACAGCCTTGTCCACCTGAAATAGTTACAAATATAGTGGTAGATAAAAATTTTTCAACTTCAGAAGAGTGAATCAAACATCTTTTACTTTACTGCATAGTTTGTGAGACTCAGAATTTAAATATTTTAATATCATCCCCTTACAATTGAAAGTATTTAACAAAGTTAATAAAAATAATTAAAACTCAAACTTTATCCATTCTTGAACGACACACAGTATACTGACTTTTATCTATCTCAGCATGTGGTTCTCCAATACTCATTGGAACTCGGAATCCAAATGGATCCTCAGATTCTAACAACTTCAGCAATTCTTCCTCAGTAATTTCCTTTGGCTGCGGTACCTAAGACAGATTGATGAAGCAGTTGAAATTTGGTATCTTCGACATGGGCATCTCTGAGAGATATATGTACATGTATATCAGAGTGAGTCAGCCATCATTACTTCATACACATATAGTTTTATGAATAATTATCTCCATTGTATAATTGTCAATATGTTTGAACTCCAAAGTTTTAATGATTAAAATAGTGAATGTGATCCATAAAAATGTATACTCCAATCTCTTGCTAGGCAAATGCGCATAAATGCCTGATTAACAAATACATGTACAATCAAACATTTTCAAGTAATTCAGTTAATAAAAGGGGTTTGCTTTAATACATGTATCAATTCAGGTTGACTTCAAATAAATTATGAGCATGAAAACTTGTAGAAAATTTGTTTACAGGTAAGGTATTGCACATAATTCCACTTACATTTTCTGCTTGGCAGACATTGATAAAAACTTTCTCACCATTTTCCTTCTTTGTTTTCAGACAAAAACCTGAAAAGTATTGTAATATTAAAAAGTGTTAAAATTCAATTCAATTTAATGTTAGCCTTACAATTTAATCGTACATTTTATCATTAAAATGAATCAAAATCTTTACCTGGTTTAGGAAGAACTGTTGTCCAGGAAACTTTTTTGTCAGAATCAGCACCTATTCCATCCTGCACTCCCTATGAAAAAAAATAAAATCTGTATCATATCAAGACAACTGATATTTCCTATAAGTGCTTACTCAACCATAAATTGATACACTTTATTAAGGTAAAAATCTAAACTAAATTATTTAACCAATTCTTTGAAATATAGCAAATTTACTGATTGCAGAATTAGCTTCTTCATTAAAGCTTCAGTTTCATCTGTGTCTGGCTCCAGCATATTGATCAGTGCCTACATGAAGTCATCCAACATTTCCCGTGATTCTAAGAAGTGTCTTTTCTATAATAAAATGAGATCTCCCTGTACATATCATCATAATGGCTGTGTAAATTCAATCAAATTGGGTGCAATAATAGGCACATGGATGGTGATTTTGTCTGTGATTCATTTGTAATGGGTTATCAAAAAAAAAAAACGCACTCATATATAATTTTATACACACACACATATATACATACATACACGATCGAGGGTTGTTAGAAAAGTTCACCGAGACATTGATTTAAGGAAAATTTATGTGTACTTTGAAGATAGACGAATGTCTGATTAAATTCTTATCTTTTGTTTGTTAGTATGTAAAAAGTCAGGTCTATTTACTAAAATTAAAATCAAATAACTTAAAAAGGAATAAAATTTGGCAAGCAAAGTTTTTCTGCAACCCTACAGTTTGTTAGATTGATCCCCAAGAAGTTTTAATTAGGAACTTCTGGCGGATCAATCTCCTAAATAGTGGACATACAGAAAAAAATTGTTAACCAAAGTTATTCCTTTATAAGTATCTTGATGCGGATTTATGATATTTATAGCCAAAATAAAAATTTTCATTTTCTGCACTGTAAAGGACTATATTCGGTAATGACCAATATTTGCCCCCAAAATCAAACTTTAACAGAGAAATATATAATTATGTTCTAAAACAGGGGGATATCTGCAGACGTCAAAGCACTGAATATTTTCATAAGCCATGTCGCCATATTTTAGATATGATGTCAGGAAAATGACATAAATTCTAACTTTCCATGATTTATACAGAAAAAGGTGTATATTACGTCAATATTTTGAGTAAAAGTCACCGAGCGCAAGTCTGCTCCAACTCAATATTTTGATATAATGTGTAGAATGATTATATTAATGAAATATGTATATATTGTTCTGGAGCAGGGCTGCGCTCTGTAAATTTTATGGTAAAAATTGATCAAATTTTGTCCATTTTTGCCTCTTTCTGAAAAATAATACAAAATCTGAATAGTTTGTGACATCATAGAAACAAAAATTGCCAATAACCCACTTTGAAACTATGACATTTTTTGTTAATTTATATTTCTCATACAATATATACAATGCAGCACATTTTAAGAAATTTTCAAAATATGACTTTTGTGGGGGCAAAAATATGCATACATACTGCATATAGTTCTTTATATCCCATTTGACATATTATATCCCAAGGAGCTACAATATCCCATATGGATGATTTAAAAAAAAATGACCACCAAACTGAAAATTTTTGGAAAAATTCAACTACTTATAACATATTTTTCACTTATATCATCATATTGCACAAGCATTCAGGTCTAAAATCCTGAAGTGGCATTAGAATAGTCAAGTGGATTAAAAAGTTTCAGAATTTTTATTAGTAAAATTTCTTTTGAAAAAAGAAAATATCATTACACCTTAAAAGACTTTCTAAAATACATAATCACAAGAAATTATGGTTTTTTATGCTTCAAAATGGTAAAAGGGGTATAAATGATTAAATCTAGACCTTGATTTAGTATCTTCCTTTGTACATGTAACAAAAAATTGGCTTTTTGATTGTTATTTTACATTAGTTTTTCAATTCTGGTTTGAAAAGTTTTAATATGAAAAAAATATCAAGCAATAAAATCCCCCAAAATTCACTTTTTTGTCCGTTCAAGTCAATTCTTTAAATCTAAGCCAAAAAAGAATTTTTATATACGAGTTTTCTTACAAAAATACTAGATTTTTGAAATGACCGTATGTTACATTATTGTGTTGCACTCCTGACATCTGATATGTATTTTATTTAACATTGTTTTAAAAATCATAACATACAATAACCCATTCTTACTTTGTAAATTAATTTGTCGTTTTGATATTTTTCATCGTTTACGGCAGGTTTTTCATATTTTGAAGACCTTAAAACATGATTATTTGCAAAGTGTAATATATATAAATTGTATTTTAAAAATAGACGTGAAATGATGAAAACCATTCCCTGAATTGACTATAAAATTTCCGTAATTTGTTGATAGACATAGTGTTTTGAACATCAAATAGTATCAAAAATTTTTTTCAACTTATTTTTTAGTAAAGATAGTTAAAAAGCATTGGTAATTATAAAGCAGTTTTGTTGCACTCCTGACTGCAGTAAAATTTAAAATTAAAACCACAGAACTCAAAAATTCATAAAGTGTTGGCAACATCAAGTGGTAATGAACTTGTGCAATATGTATAGTCCAATACTTCATAATTAAAACAGATGAAAGTATTTAAAATTCACATTTTATCTGGATTTATTCCCTATCTATGCCAAAAAAAAACTAGCTTAAATGTATATTTAGAAGATAAAATATATTTTATAGCATATTTTTCCTTTAGAGGACAAACACAGTAACCCACCAAAAAAAATCTACTCATCATTTTTTCTTTATTTTTATTCTTATTGGATGATTTATAATTCTAACATATTTGTTGCACTCCTGACCAAAAGCATTGGGGCCTTTAAAGTAGAATTGTGAAGTGAAAATTACATAAGTACTTCTTCTGTTGTTTCAGTGAAGTTGAGGAGGAATTACTTGAATTTTATGACAATTTTTTAGTGTGTTTATTTTTAACGTTCATTAAAAAAATCACAAAAAAGATAAAAACACATCTGAATTGATAAAATTGAAAAAGGGATCCGAGGATTTTAATAATAAAACTGTCAATAATTTAGTATTAAATTATGCAAAAAGATCATTAATTAATGAATACATCTAAGCATGAATAGAAATGTTTTCGTCACACAACTTGAATCTTGAAAAAAAATGTGTTGCACTCCTGACCATAGAAATATAGATCTGAAGCACAGACAAATCCTGTAATTGATAAATCTCTTTGGTAAAAATGTTCTTTGTGTCTTTATTTTCCAAAATAAAAATCAGAAAATCATACAATGATAATAGTTTTTTCATGCTTGGGATCAAAACATCAAATGTTGCACTCCTGACATTATTGGGTATGCACAGATACTTGACTCTCATTAATGCTGCTTGCAATTTATATAACATTTTTAAGTTTTAAAATGTATATCAGTTATTGTTTTACACTTCGAAAATTCTTTTTTGTCTTAATTTTCTTTCAGAATTTTACAATTGATGTTTTTTTGGCAACACTACATTTTTTCTGTTGCACTCCTGACATGGTATAACATTTTTTTAAACATCAGCCATGACCACAACTTGATTAAACAGAAGTTACTACAGTCCACATTTAAAGCTCAATACTTTGAATATTATCAGGAAAATCTTTATTTTCAACATAAACCATTATTATTTATTTCACAGATCTCCAAAAAATATTGAAATTTCAAAATGTCACAAAAAGGTGTTGCACTCCTGACATTTTTAGCATCATTTTTGGGCATAACTTTTTTGTTAATTGAGATATCAACGAGATATTTGGCAGGTATTTAGACACTATCTAAAGACATACGCTGAGACATAGAAATCTATTTTCATAGTCTGCATTTTTAGTGTGGGTTGATAAATATGTGTTTGGTAATTTTTTTTAATTCACCCATTTGGGCGATTGGTCCCAACCTGTTAAAATGCCTTTACCAAATAACTTTTTCTCCGTTTTTCGTACTTTAAATTCATATCTCATTTGGGATATTATATTATCCCATACACCAAAACAGGCAATTAGAACCCATTGGTAACTAGCCCCAACCTGTACCAGCTTCTCAAAAGTTTTTTTCTTCTTAAACATGTTATTAATAAAAGAACTAGTAATACTTTGAGTTCATTAACATGCATACAAATATGTCAGCGTTTACTTATTTCCATAATTTCATTGCAAATATGTTTCCAGTATACCTGAATTATACAATGGAGACTAACATTAGAGTCTAGACTGTCAAAATAATAAAAAATATTGTTGATGTCATGGACGCTGCCATCTTGTGTAAATCTAAAAGTTAAAAACTGTTCCGGAAAAATTCCGGAGACTAATATTATGAAGCGATGTACACAACTTTAATCACTGGTATATATTAAATCAAAAACTTACCTAGAACGACTTTAAAAGTGTACGCTTTCATAATGAATGTACAACCTTGTCTAAGGTATGAATTTACTATTTCAATAGTTGTTTAAAATGTATTTCAAAAGCAAAACCAGGTTGCAAACACAATTGAAATAGCGCCCACTACTGAAATAATCATTCTAATAGAGGTTGAAAATGCATATCAAAATCAAAACCACGTTTCCACACAGTATGTAAATAATAAATAATTCGATTAGATTTATATGTATATATATAAACAAAAGAAACATTGGGAAACACTGCCTACATATATCCTTGCTGATGATATAAATATCAATTGATTCTAATTTTAATTATATTTCAATAGCTGGTGTTGTTAAATGATGGTTTATTGAAATAATAACCATTATTGAAATAATTATTTCATTAGTGAACGTTATTTCAAAAGTGATTTTTACCTGGCTTTGATCGAATTATAAGTTTGGAGAATTTAATCCAAGTTTCTCTAAAACGAGCCTTGCAAACAAAGACTATATTTTGTTACCCCTTTTTCAGCTGCGACAAGTACATACTGATGACGTGATCTATTTAATTCTTCTTTAGTACCTTCTGAATTACTGAAGACAGAAAGATAGATGGTTTTCATATTGCCAATCACCCGTTTAAGGTGACATTTCGATATCTTCATTATACTTTTAATCCATTCTATCAAAGTGTCAATGTCCTTTTTTCATATTTGATCCATCACCCAACATAATCTTCGACAGAAATACAAGGTGTGGACTTCAACTTGAACTATGATGGAAATTACAGAATCCAGCTTGTTATCTGGTTTTTAAAATAATCCAGGTATGGTCTTTCTTTAGCCTTTTCATTTAGACCCTATAAAACTTTTAAAGGGAAAGAGTAAAGTTTGGTGCAAATGTGATGCAGGCCTAATTGTTTATTGACGGAAGGAAGAAGTGATTCAAAAGAGATATCATGTAC